TTACTTACAGGTAAGCTCTTTAGAGTCACATTCCAACCCGAATTCCCTTCTATCCCAAGCACCCAGAAGCCACATAGTCTGCAAGTCTGTGGGAAGGCTCCAAGGCCCCTTTACAGAAAAATGCTCTGTTGTGCCCGCATGTACTATTTAGACATGTTGCGTTAGCTGCTAGAACCTGATGTCAGTAAATTTTACTACAACTACAAACCTGCAATTTATATTAAACAGTAAGTAAAACCTGGCAAGGTTAGGCCATAGGTTTCACTGGCAACAAAGTGTTGGATCTGAGCTCTAGGCCTGGCTTTCTGTCTGTGCAGGCTGAAGGCATTGCGACCCCTGCTGGAAAGCTACCAAACAGCTGGCAGTATGCAGGAGAAAAAAATTTAGGAAAGATGTCCTTTGGGATCTATTTCTGTTATGTTTAAGCCTTTTCTTAGAAGAATAATGTATTCATTTTTCTAGTCCTCTCCTGGTAGCACATAACTATTGACAAACTATGGCCCAGTAAATATTATTCTAACGGCCTACAAAAGCTATGGACTTAATTCCCTGTGGGTGGAAGGAGCTGAGAAGGCTTCATGCCAGAGGCAGTCCTGAAGATGGATTGTAGAGGCTGCGTGCATCAGCTGCTTGCGATGCTTCTTAACTCAGAAACAAAAAGAAATTTGTTTGAAGACTATGTGTTGCCTCTAGGAACTAGTGAGATGCCGAAAATCCAGGGTTGGAAAATGAGAAGGAATGAAGAGAAACAGACTCTAGGGATCATGTCAAAATGGTACCCAAGGAATGGTTCCACTGGGAGCACATCCCTGAGACTTGGATGCTCCTGCTGACGCCAACCACTTGATCCATGACCCAAGCTGGCGATAAACACTCCACAGTTCCTGTGTCCTTAAGTTGCTCCCTCCTGATTCCAATCCCCTGGTGGGATCTTTTAACTGAGTTCAGGGCTGCAAGATACAAACTAGGAAATGAAACTCTGCCTCCAACTAGGAGCATCTCTCTGAAGCAAGACAGTGAGATTCCCTATAAAAGAATGATATTTGGTTGCTTGGTACCTTTTAGATATGTAGTGGTGATGGAGGTAGAAGCACCCAATGCAGTACTGAAGGATGCAATGGGAACACATAGATCTGCATTCCAATCTGGAATCCTCTGTACCTTCAGAAACCGACAACGTTTCCTAATCTGCAGATTCTCAATTGTTAAAATAGAAATGATGCCATCTGTTCCCCCGAATAGCTGTGAAGATTCCATTCAATCATTCATTCACTTTTCTGAACACATTTAGGGACTGCCTATTTAGTGCTTGATACTGAACTAGGCTCTGGGGACAAATTCTGAAACATCGATAAAAAGAAAGAAAAGCAAACACTCTGTGCAGATGACCAAGTTAGACAAGGGAGATGCATGAAACTGGTCATGCATCATGTTCCCCTAGCTGAGTCATTGCTCTTTAACTTTTCTCTGGTTTTTATTAAGCAATATTAAGTTCCTCCCTCCAAAAACATCTTGTTAAGACATATGTACATACTGAACTTAAGAGCATAGCTGCAGCAAAAAACAGTGAAGGGCAAGGCATGGAGGTCAATGGGAAGAGTGCTTGTCTAGCACAATGGTTTGAACCACAGCCCTATAGTAACTGGGTGCTATGGTTCGTGTGTGTAACCCCATCACTTGGAGTTGGGAGCAAGGGGACCAGATGACTCCAAGGTCAGATTTAGCTGCACAGCAAGTTTGAGGTCAGCCCAGGATAAACAACCCTGTTTCAAAGAAGACAAAGAAGAAAATCTACTCTAAAACTTAGTACTGATCCTGAATATTAAAATGATAATTCTTAGAAACAGTGGGGCTCAGTGCTGATGTAATTCATGTAGAGTGCACATAAGACAAAGCTTATTGAAATATGCCCTCATTTAATGTTTAGTACATGTGATGAACTCAGGCACACCCCAATTACAATTAACTTGGACATTAAGTAGATATAAAATAAAAATGCCAGAAGGACAAAAACAATAAACAAAATTTCACAAGTGTTCTACAGTCAGTGAAATGTGTTTTATGTGTATTTTATCTCTTCCTCTTAATCATCTTCCAGTCACTAATCTGCAGGAAAGACTATATGAGTTTTAGAGAGAGAAAACAGTCAGCCTAAGGTCATGGGGCCAGAAGTTGGTTTCACCCCTGTCTGTGGTCTCAGTCTCTTACTTTCCCTTTCAGGAAAGCCAGCATGGGTAGAAAGCAGAAGGCCAGAGCTCAGTTTGAGGACTCCGAAACAGCAGCATTGGTAATTTCTAACCTTAGCTACAAACTCCCTGCCTTCTGTACCTTCTAGGAAGCCAGTACACTTGCCACAGAGCAGCTGAAGAAATTTCTACACTTCCCAGCCCAGGCCCTGAAACGGGTGCCTAGACAATCATGACAGGCACTCTATGTTCCATTAAAGCATCCACAAGTTTGCCTATCTCTGCCTCTAAATCTAACCACATAAGAGAGAGCATGGCCCAGTCCTGCTGGTAGCTGTGTGCCACCCAGGGTGCTTGCTTGGTCTCAGAAAGGCAGAGCACAGAGCTGAGCAGCATAGACCAGTGAGCCTGTCCCCAGCTGCTTTGAAATGGCCACTGAATTTTAACTTAAGACAAGAAAAGCTCCCATGAAGCTTTTCCCTTCAGAGAATCCCTGGAATTTTCAAGGCTGAGAATTTCTTCTTTTGAGGATGAAAACACAAGTCCCAGCTATATAAAGGAGTTCGAGTAAGGCAAAGCTCATTCTGCTTAACAAGGTGCAGGAAGGCGATAATCTGCTGGAGGGATAAAGCCTTTGCTCCCCCACCAGGGGCAAGGGCCCTCCTCCGCGTGTCCAAAATTCCCTTTGCAAGACCAAGGCATCGTTTCGTCCCCAGCTTCCCTGTTCAAAACTTTCCATCCGAAAGTCGTAGTATATTGCAGGCACAGCAGCTTGGTGGAGGATGTGAAGCCCAGGAGCATAGCTCAGCCTTGCTCACTAAGACATCCTCTCTGGCTGCTGGCTAATTAACTGCAGAGACTTTAGAGTGCTTAGTCAGGAAGTTGTCCATCCCTGTCGAACCAGAGCTGGATGGGTAACTGACGCCAAAGAGGCTCTTTTAAAAGTTCACCTTCTCATGTCTGGCTGTGTGTGTGTGTGTGTGTGTGGTGTGGTGGGGTGGGGTGGGTGCAGGGTCCCTGGGGGGCCGAACGGTCGGTTTCAATACCGTGAATGGAATAAAAACTAAGCACTCCGAAAATACAGAAGGACAGCACGGCGATTTGAAGCTTAAACGTTCATCTGGATTTTCAAAGGTTGGGCTAATTCTAACCTTACTCACTGTGGCTAGAAAAGTAGAAAGCAAGACTAATTCCCAGTGTCAAAAGCAATTAGAGCTTTAGAAATGCGGGGGCTAGGGGTGCAGAAGTTGAGCTATTTCTATCTTTTATTAAAAACTAAAGTTAAATGTGGGATTCCTGGAATTAACTCCTGGGTGGAAGCTGTTAATGGAATTTCAACAAATACAGTGAGATTTGGGAGCAAAACTGAGACCGCAGGACTTCCTTTGGGATCCACCAGCTGGCCATATATACCCAAGGCTGGGGCACGTGGGGAGTGGGGAAGGTGCTAGCGATCTGGTGATACCTGCGAGGTGGGGCAGGCTGGGTCCTGGTGGAGCTTTCCTTAGAACGGTGAGCTCAGGCGGAAGCGGGGGCTCACTCCCTCTCTCTCTCCTGTCCAGTCTCTCCTTTCTTTACCCCAGCTCCTGGCTAACCAGAGACTGCTTCTGGGAGACCAGAATCCAGAGTTGCCTCCTCGGATCTCACCCCCAAAAAAAGCATCATAGCGGAGTTACAGATAAAAATAGCCCAGGACAACACGGTGGGAAGAGGAGAAGTAAGAGTCAAGCAAGGCAATGCAAGAATACCATAGCTTTTACATAGTGGGGGTTGGACAGGAAGGGTGCTACTCCTGGTCCAGTGGAGGGCCCCGCGTGTGCAAATAACATCAGGCTCGCTCTTAGCTTAGGCTGTGCCATAAAGAGCACCCACAAATAATTGCTGAGTCTGGCACAGACCACCAATCCCTGGCAGGCAGCTGGCTCTGGAGTTTTTTTTTTTTTTTTTTCCATCCTGCTACCGGCTTGAGCCCTAGTTTCAGAGATCTGACCCTCCAGTGCCAGGAAAGGCAGGGTACAGAAAGGAAGGCAGTGGAGTTCACTGCTGCAAAGGCGGGTGTGTGGGGCGCACCTGAAGAGGTCGGGCACCAAGTAAGTGGTGCTCATTCTAAGCATAGGCTTCCCAGGTTCGTGTCCCTACATCCTTTATCCACGCCCCCCCCCCCATCCGCCTCCTCTATCGGTGGTACCCAAAATAGAAACTGAGGTGGAGAAAAGTAAAAAATAACATGAGAAATCAATAGACGTATGTAACTGGCTTTCTTAATACTTAAGATCCTGCCTGTAGCCTTCCTCTTCAAGTACCCCGGGAGATGCTCAGTCTCCCCATTACTGCTACCAAGTGCAAAGGCAAACCAGACCAAGACTTCCGCACCCCAGATGCCAAGTGACTCCAGTCAGATGTCCCCTGGCCCAGTTCTCTGTCCCAGGTTGTGCCCTGGTTCCAGAGCTCCGCTGCTCCAGCTTCAGATGCACAGGGTCCTGGAACGAAGGTGCGTCGCGTAGCAGCGGGCAGCGATAACTCTCCCGAGTCAACTAAGGACATAAATCCAGTCTTTTAAGAGACGGAAACTCGCTTCCCTTATACTCCATCTCGAGAATTCTAGAGATGAGGTTCCAGGACAGGACATAGCAGGATCAGAAAACCCCGAGTCTTTCCTCCGGTAGAGTGTACTCTCCACTCTACCTGCTTCGGCCTCGACTCACCTTGGGCTCTGCACTTGCCCCAAGTCGGGACACTAGAGGAAGGTACCAAGGCAGCCCTTACCGGCTGCTTCCATGCCTGACGCCCTCACTCCTCACGCGCAGCGCTCACCTGAGTCGCGTACCCGTCCAGCCGGTCCGGCGCCTTCAATCGTCTCTCCGGCCGGGCCATGGACAACACCGCCGCCGAGCACCCGCGCCCCTTGGAGCAAATTTCCAGCCACCCCAAGGCAGGCGAGCCGGGAATAGACACAGGCACTCAGCGAGAGAGACCCGGCTCTGGCGGCAGCTCCTGGCTGCAGCGCGCGGAGGACCTTACAGACAGCGTTTTGGTGCCTGAGCAGAGGATGGGAGGAGCAGGAGGAGGAGCAGGAGCCGGAGGAGGGGACTTGGGAAGCCGGCGCTCGCAGAGACCGCAGAGGGCAGAAGAGGATCACGAGCGCCCACTGCTGCCCAGTTGTCTCCGGTGCTGCCCCGGGTCCTGCCTCCCAGCGCGTCCCTGCGCTGACTTCCAGCTACTCAGCTAATAAGCACGCTGTGTCTGCGCTTCTGAGTCCTGGAAGGAGCCGGTTCGGCTCACCTAGTGAGGACTCTTTGGATTTCAGTCTGTGGGGAGAGACGGGCGGAGCATGTGGGTGGGGTGACTTTATCCACCTTGCAAACCTTGAACTTCTGGTGTGCTCCCAGACCCCTGCTGGATCCGAACCTTGGGTCTATCTGTCCATTACCCCTTTTCGTAAACTCCTCATGGCCCCCAACACCTTTGCACATGTATTCGGACCCAGCGTTCACTACCGGCCGGTGGGCAGATGACTCCCTTTAGGCTCCCGTGCTGTGCGCGCAAACCAGAGGCCTCAGGAGCCTCTTGCGCTGCAGCAGGGACAGAAGCCCCTTGAAGAGCTGGCTTCAGTGTGTGCGGTGTCACCATGAAACACCCGCACTCCTCCTTAGGTTTTGCCTCAAACAGATTGGAGTTTAACAAGGCAAGCGCGAAGGATTCAGCTCTCCTTTAGCAAAACTAAGCAGGTTGGCAAACCTCTGAAACTAATCAAGGTCTTCTGCATTCCAAAGCGGAGAGGTTTGGTGTGAGAGCCAACCTGCATATTGTGACTCAATCTAAGATTTGGAGGGCAAAGAAGCTGGAATCTCCTTGAGACACTGGGCAGCTTCAACCCAGAGCAAGTCGCCTTCCAAAGCAAGTTACCAAAACAAAAGAGGGGTGGGAGGGAGAGTGAAAGGAAGGAGAACGAAAGACCCAAATACAAATTAAAATAATTTCCTTTAACTATTTTAATATCAACCATATCTTAAAATCGGGATATAAATATTTATCATTTGCATTTCTAGAATCAATACTCTCCCATCTAAAGGAGAAAATTCCTCTGAGCAACTGGCCACTTAACAGGTGCAAAGATTAACCTCAGTCCTCTCAGAAGGCAAAATATATTGTGGCTTATAAATCTAGAAGCACCATAGAGACTTAGACCAAGTCTTCCTTTTGGATGGTAAGTTCTTAGAAATTTTAATGACAGTGGCTACTTAATCTTTAAGTAAATGTAAAGTTGGCTTGCAGATTTCAGGTTTAAAAAAATGTGCGTTTACAAAAATCACTTTAAATCTGCATCTTAAAAAGTCTGAGCACTTTAAAGTTTACATTAGGTGTAAAGACATGCTTTCTCTCCTATGCTATGAATTTGTGTAACATCTTGCAAATGGTTGTTGTGGTCAAAGGGACAGCTAAGATTGAAGGGTTGCCAATTATCAACTAAGGTCTCCTTAGGCTTCTGCCAGACACCAAGCACAGTGCAAATCAGAAGTCCTACAACACAGGGAGGGTGTCGATGCCCTAAGTTGTTTGAGGTGTTTTGTTTGTTTGTTTGTTTGTTTGTTTGTTTGTTTTTCTTCCTTCCTAAAGGGTCCAATGTGTTTCAATGCCCAGTGCGTGGTATGACAGGGAGATTAGCAAGGATTCTTCTGTTCACACTCTGGAAGTCAGAGGACAATTAACCAGCTTACTTAATTACCTATGACAAAAACTCAAATCAAAGAAAGTAAAATCTCATCCCTGAGCTCAGAGTCTTTGTTAGTCACCACCTTCTGCAGATGTGACTCCAGGGATGTCCAGCAAGTGATAAGAATAGGAGCACTGGCCCTACAGTTGCCCGCCCACCCCAGTTTCATCAAATATTTATTGATCAATAGTCACTGTTCTTAGATCTAGGTAAATAAAAACACCAATGATTTTTTTTTTCTGTTCGTTGGCTTTATGTCTCTGCTTAGATGTTGACCCCTCTCCTAGAGGTCTTCTAGACCTAGCTTCTGCTCACTAGGTGTAGATCTTAGCTCTAATAATATACCATCATATATTACAACAACAATAATATAAGCTCTAATAATAATATAATATCAGCTCTAATGTTGTACAGAACAGAGATGCATTTGCATCTGTCTTCCCCAGTAGATTAGAAGAGCCTTGGATATGAGAAACCATGGTATAATTATCATTTATCAACCTTTTGTAGCTTGTCTGACAGTATAACTGAAGAAGAAAAAGAGGAGGAGAAAAAGGAGGAGGAAGAAGAAAAGTCATGTATAGTGGCACATGCCTGTCATCTCAGAACTCAGGGGAGGCAAAGGCAGGAGGACTTGGTCTGCAAAGGTGAGTCCAGCACAGCCGAGGCTACACAGAGAAACCCTGTCTTGAAAAACAAAAACAAAAACAAAAACAAAAACAAAACAAAACAAGCAAAAAAAAAATCAAATGAAAACCAAAAACAAACCTAAAAAACCTAAAACCCAAATAACAACATAAACAAAAAAATACAACAAACACACAAACAAATTTGTAAAAACAAATTTGTTTTAGGGGCTGGAGAGATGGTTTACTGGTTAAGTGCCAGCATTACTCCAACAGAGGACCAGAGTTCTGTTCCTAGATCAGAGGACTCACATTGCCATCACATTTCACTTCAACACCAATGTGTCTTCTATTCTGGCAGGTACTAGTCTCCCATACAAGTGTACATGTGTTTGTGTATGCTCGTGCACACACACACACACACACACACACACACACACACACACACACACATAACACACATCAAAAATTAAAAATAAAAATAGTTTTATTAATTTTACTTATTTCACATTTTAAATTTGGTTTGATTTGGTTCAGACAAGTTTCCATATCAGTAAAATAATAGTGAGTAAGAATTGAGGCTCATAAGAAACATAGTAGCAACCAACCAGAAAACCAGCTGTCACTCAGTTCTATAACCCAAGCCAGCCAGTGTCCTCAACTAGAAAATGAGACTGTATTGCAGATGATTTCTGCACCACTAGTACTTAAGCTATTAGAACAGTTGCTGGATACTTGATATGAAAAAGAAATGGAACATTAAGATGTCACTGCTGCTGGCAGACACTCTTGCTTCAAGGAGCTGTAAGGCTTATACCCACAAGCCACCTTTACAGAGACTCATTCATCTTGGCTAGACTGTAAACTCTGTTTACAGAAGATCAAAGCTAAAGCCAAGAGAAGGAAACCGAAGCTGGGGACCCATGACTATGGTCAATAATCTGCAATAATGGCATCTAAGATAGAGCCAAGATTGGAACCAGGTTTGGGGTAAAGTGAATTATGTACACTGGATCTGCTGTGTGTGTGTGTGTGTGTGTGTGTGTGTGTGTGTGTGTGTGTGTTGTAGTATGATACAGCTGTACTTGTAATATATGAAGTTTAAAGGTTGACTGGATTGAATATCTTCCTGTATATCTCTCCAGCTTCTTTCTTGAGATAAGATCTCTCACTACACTTGGAAGTTACTGTTTCCCTTGACTGACTGGCCAGTGTCCCCCCTCCCACACCACACAGAAGATTTGCCTTTCTTCTCCTACCTTCAGCACTGGTGGCACAGATGTATCAAAACTCAGGTCTTTATACTTGCAAGGCAAAACCTTTACTTCCTGAGTCCTCCTCACAGCATGAATTTGCTGTTCTTATAACATTGTTACAAACAAACAAACTAAATAAATTCTGCTTTACAAGTAAGATAACTTTGTCCACACAGATAATAATTTGTTTCAGGGGATATACTACTAACATGTTTTTCTTAATTATTCCCAGGGATCATTAACCCTTCTCTATTTTGAAATTAAGAGAGCTCATCAGTGCTCCAGGTAAAGTGGTTGGATAATGTAGACAGCCTCCCTTCTAGTTCAAACTAGATTCCTTGTCTAGTGCTCCCCATACCCAAATGGTTTGTTCATGTTTCTTATTGTTGGTCTACTTTTTCTTTCTTTCAGAGGTGTGATGAGCAAAGAGTAGGTCAGGGGAAGAGGAGGTGGGGAGAGGAGGAGCAGAGTGAGGCTGCTTCTTCTGTAGACTCTGAGGATTCACACTCACCATCTGACCAGACCCAGAGGGATCTTCTCTACAATCCCTGCCTAAAGGGTTGCCCTATATCTTCTCTTCTCATAATGGATGCTTGAGTCTTTCAGGTTAATAGCATGAATTTTAAGGAGTCCAGTGGGATTCTTTACAAGCAGTAGAAATTGGGATCAGGTTAAAAATCCAATTTTAATAAACTTTCCAGGTCCTGATTTAGATGGTGTGCTAATGGCTCTCTGTGCTGAATCACCTTAAAAGTCAAATGTATTTTTAAAAGGCTCTCCTTGTATGGGAGGCTTGATGGATATTGCTTAATTGTGCATTGTGCATTCATGTCTTCATCAAAAAGGATCATCTAAAATTGAAGAGAGCTGATAGGAAATGCAGCCATCCTTTGAGCTGGTTGGTTACAGGGAAGGCTTTGGGGTTGCAAGATAATTTTCACTCCTTTTGACCACAAACAAAGAGAGCATGATTGCACTGTGTGACATGGCATCCTCAAATCACTCCACTAATTTGATTGTGCTGGGGTCTAAGACTGTTTCTGTTTCCTTTGATTTGCTAATTAGCCTGAGTTATCTGCTTGGAAGAGAGGAAGCCAGGCTCATGTCCACAAACATGAAGGCTGGGGAGTTCTTCCAATTCAGCTGGCCTTCACATACCTACCCTGAACCCATCCCAAATTGCGAACTATCTACTCTCATGAGCAAACAATCTACCTTTCTATGATTAAAAGATTATGTGATAATTTTCTTTTCTCTGAAAACATGACCTGATTTCTTCTTGTCTTGTGTGATCACTGGGCTAAATTTGGACTTTTGACTCTAAGAGTCCCTTCATTCTCATTTGCTAGAATTTAATAATGATTGGAATTGCCACCACCACTACCAATAACCCACTGTTAAAGGCTTAGTTTCAAAGGTGGCTTCATGTGGAGGAAGG